TTACTTACGAGAACGGCAACGTAGGCATGCCGTTCCTGCTGCTGAGGAGGTCGCCCTTCTGCATCAACCTAATGAGCAAGATGCACCTGTGGCCAATTAGGATTGTTGAGAACTACAACAATAGTTTCTGGTTTCTCCAAGTATAAAAGGTAAGATTATCGACAGAAAGATGTATAGGCTTGATCTTCTGGTGGTTTTGGTTAAAGAAGGGTTGCTTTTATTGTCTCTCCGCTCATTGTAGAATAGAGGGTTCTTGGGCAAGGCTGAAATAACAAATGCTCTTAGTCTTGTGTATCCATAACTTGTGTTTAACGTAGAATTAGCGCATGCAAATCACAATCATTGAAGATAGTATATCAGATCAATCAGTGTTTCCATTGTTTTTTTACACCAAAAGAAAGGAAGAGGAAGAGCTAACGACATTTGTGACCTTGTGATCCTTGATTTTAAGGGAAATGTCAAACAATAGTATGAATTTTGGGGTTATAGATGTCTTTCTATTGTTCAGAATGTAATCTTAGAAGTTGTGTCATTGCAATTAGAAGTTGGAGTTATCACAATTTCCAAATTTCAGAACTAAAAGTCCTCTCGGAAGAGTGGTCATAGTGGCACATATAATGTAGGTTTGCTATCAAAGGATTCTGAATGCTACTGGCTACTATGGATGACAATATTTATTCAGGACCCTTTATATGACTTGAATTCTTTTGGTTGGTTGAGTGAAAAAAATGTCTTAATTGTATATTTTTTATACTCGTCACAATCAATGAGCAGATTGGGTTGGTTTCAAATGACAATGAACTAAAATTAAGCTGTACTCACTACAAAGCCCACATGATATGAGTCATTATAACTAAGGATCATAATTTTTATTTTGAAACAATTGAATTGTTACTGTTTTCAAGAAGATCTAAATGAATTAATGATGAAATCAAATTTTTATTACTTCTGGATATTTTTATAACTAATGATACTATGTAACTAATGATAATTGTGTGTTATGGAGTGTGTTGGATTTAAAAAAAAAAATTTGGGGGTGGGGGGGGGAGTGTGTTGGGTTTTTGAATTTTTTTTTTTTTTGGGGGAGGGGGAATGAAATTTGGGGAAAAAAATATACCCCTATACATTCAAACACCTATCTAATTTATTATATATATGTTTCAAAGTGTTTTATAATGTTTCAATGAATTTATACAAAAAAATAATTCTCATAATTTTTATTTTTTCATTCTATTTTCAAAATATTTTTGAAAAACATCAAAACACTTCTCTTTCGCAATTGACTGAAACGAAATTTTCATCTTTCCTTACAACACATCCGAACAACATATCCTTTATTGAAGTACCCATCATTTTTATTCAGAGTCTAATATAACTCGAATTGAAAATATAAAAGTGTTTTTTTCGTCAGATGGTAAGTAGTATGAGGAAAATGTATTTATTTTGAAGATTTAATGGACAGTTAATATTGTTAAGATTAAATTTTAATAAATGGTACGAGGGTGGTGGTGGTGGTCCTCCTACTGACAAAACGCATCTGTCCCTTATTTGCAAAACAGGAATTCTTTTGGTTTTCATCTTAGGATAAGCATTAAATACTTACAAAGAATAAAATCAAAGGTTATGTAAACCAAGAACTACATAGTAAAGAAAGCCCCCATAGATTCATCTCAACCATCTAACTTATAAAAGGAAAGGAAAACTTTTCCACCTTGTCTATCTTCTCTTTGTTTGCATACCACCAGCCAAACTAGAAGCCCCAAGTCGTGTGTGTCGGGTATATTTGGTGAAAAATATGACTATTTGATGATCAATCTCCAAAACCAGAGATTAGCGCTTATAAGCTCGCCAAAAAAGCTGCTTAAAAAGGCCTCCTCCATGGCTGATCTTCATCCTCTGATCGCACGTCTTTGAGGCGTTCACAATTGCATTTGCGGCATACCATGTTCCCTTTGAAATTAAGGAAATCACACCTACAGAAAGAAATGTGTTAATTTATAGATGTTATCAGTCATCTTACCAGATTTGAACCTCAGCTGAGAAATAGAGACACTCACGACGGGCATTCCCACTCTCCGGGATTCAATTGCCTCTTGGGACGTGGCCCTCGACAGCGCAGACACTTGGTGTTGCTTGCAAAATTCATGAACCCACACCTACATACAACCCACTGGATGTTTCAAAAGAAAAAAAAGCAAGGAATAAAACACATACAAAAACAAACCAAAAAACTAATACATTTCTTAGTATAGCTTGCGATATGCTAGATTTTACTATACATATGAGAAACGGTAAGACATAAGCTAAATTTGGTTCTAATTTTTATTTTTTACTTTTGGATCAGTAACAACGGTTTTCCTTCATAATAATGACATACACAGGACAAGTAGTCCATCAATAAGGAAAAAGGAAAAAAAAAGGAAGAAAAGATTGATAGAAGTTGCATATCACACATGAATCTCCAAACCGCTCTAATCAAGACCAAAGGAATTCTCGCAAAATTGAGGTGACATCAAAGCCTAGAAGGAAGCCAAGATCCTCACACAATCGTCTTCCAAAATTCTTTTGCTCCTCTCAAAGCATGAAAACGCCAAAAACTAGTCATTATTATGCATTTCCAAATTGCCCAAGCTTTCTTACTATTTCTAAAACTCCAAAAATCCATTTCTAGCATTGCAATACTTGAAGGTGGAGAAATCCAACACTCAACAAACAAAATAATCTTTTCCATAGCAACAAAACTACAGGAGAATAAACAAATGATCAGTACTCTCCCTGCTACTTTGACACAAATTACACCACTTGGGAAGCAAAAATATACGAGGTCTCCTTTTTGTAGTAAAATCATAAGTATTAAGTCTCTTTGGAACTATAGTTCCAGAGAATACTTGAAATTTAAGTGACACTTAATTTTCAGACCATCTAGAAGACTCAAACTGTGGTAAGTTAGGATCATGAATCCATGCACCAAAGAAAGATCTCCAAGAAAAATTTGAAAGAACAGACCACCCACTTTTATCGGAAACTGGCTGCCATAGAATATATCCAACAAGGGTAAAAGAGATCAAAGATCATTATCCTCCCTATCATTGAGGTTCTCATGAGATTAAAATTTTACTTGATGGAAAGAGCAAAGGATGATACCAATGAAACAATTTGAGCATTATGAGAAAGTGACAACTGAAATAATCGAGGAAATAACGATGCAAAAGGCCTATCATCCCTCCACACATCTTCCCAAAATCTAATTACTTCCCCATTTCCTACAATGAGATCAACATACTGAGAGAAACAAAGACATCCCTGAGAAATATATTTCCATGAATTTCAAGCAGTGTCAACCACATGGAGGCCTATCACTCCTTCACAATCTTTTATTCTTCCTTTTTTTTGTCAAGTAAAGATGGGTATGTTTTCCTCGTAATTTAATAAATGGCAAAATTGATTACATCTTTGCAGGTTGTGCTATGACAAAATTGATGACATCTTTCCCGGTCATGCTAGACCTAGGTTTGGCTCACAGAAAATTGTATTTCCTATGGCCCCTCAAGTTTTGACAGAATATGATGGTGTTCTTCAGAGAGTAAAATAAGGAATAGACAATAAGATAAACAGATGGCACCACAGTCTGACTTTTAATTTGTGTTACCACATGAGAAACTCCAAAAGCCAGACTAGGACAATGGTATTGGAGTATCCTGATGCCACAGTCAAAACTTAAGATATCCCGTGTCCACCAAACCAGATGAAAAGAAATCAAAACACACAAGTTGTAATCAACTTACTGTGAGCAGTTCCAATCTCCTTTCTTCATTTCAACATTATCAGCACTAACCCTCTTAGGCCCCTCTGCTTTGCATTTGAGACATCGTACATTTCTAGCAAAATTCATAAAACTGCATCTGCAATAAACTGGAGAGGATCAAACTGATGTGAAATATGAGCAATTCTAATATCCATCCAGTCCAAGCATAACATAAAGAGGAAAAAAAGAGGAGACAGGGATAGTAAGAGAATATTGTATCAGAAAAAAAGAATAAAATCAACCCTTGATAGATCAATAAAATGTTTAGAAACTGAGAATTCACGAAAAAGACTAATAATGGAAGACTACATTTAACAACAGAAGCTGGTTAGCCTCCAGATGTGGGATTTTCCAACCAAAATTTCAAGAATAGTATAATAATATGTTGCTACAAATAATAGTAAAGAGTAAGGGTTCAATCGCAGCCAATGCATTCAACTATAAGGAATAGTAGATTGAAATGGCTATCAAAAGAAAAAAAAAAGTTAAGGGAAGAAAGAAAAAAAAGTAATGATGAAAACTAGCATCGACCTTTAAATTGGTGCAAACTCAATGTCCGACTATATATTTCTAATATACCAACATATCGGAGGTCTATGATAATTCAGAGACATACATAAGAAGACAAAAGATTATTCCTACATGCATAATAACTACCGTGAAAATGATGTATCTTGTCAGCTGATGGACGGATTATGTAATCCCACACCTCATATTTACTGTCTTGTAAAATTAGCAATGAACTAAGAAAAACATCCCCAAAAAATCCAATTTGCCTTGTCTATTCTATCTGTGCCCTGTATTATGCACAAAAAGAAGGTGTGAGTATTATATATACCAGAAAAATTAAGATGGAATTTAAATTCCAATTACTACTATTAGTACAAAAAACTAGTACAAAGAAAATCCCAGCCCGTGATTGAAGAGGTGGCACTGGACAGCCTAGAGTTTTTGTCTGGTAGGCTAAACTACAAGAGAAAATGGTGGGTTTACATAACAGATTAAGGAAATAGGTTAGTGTTTGACAACTTCAGATTGTGTTAGTTAAAGTGATATGAGGTTTTCTAGTGGCAAAAATTCAATACAATGTAAAGTAAAGTGACAAGACTTACATTCCCATTCTTTTTTCAATCTTCTTTGCAGACACTAAAATACCAACTCACATAAGCCTTCTAAAACTTAGCACACAGTAATCAAACAGAACTAAAGTACATTAAAAAGAAAGTTCACACTACTAAAACCCAACATAACTCCAATATGTAAACTCCAAAAAATGTGAGGACAATTTGGTGGAAAAAAACTCATAAGCTCCTCATTTTATTAATAGGCCAACTCAAATCTTGGATAGAATGTGTGAGGAGAGAGAAAAAATATGTGCAAGGGTACCCAATGCCATAGTGAACCAGTGATGATGAGCAGCCAAAATGACCACGAATCTTAGGGGATAAAGATGACGTGATAATTCTGAACCAGTGACCAAAAGCGATCACGACAGATTAGATCAAAAAAAGAGGGTTGATTCTTATTTTTTTAACCTGGTGGAGAAAGGCCAGCCTAAAACGAACCATCCTGAATGGGAATTGGTTGCACAATTCTTCCGCAAATATGATTTTAACGTGGTTGGGACTTCCCCAAACCACCCTAACAAGAGTGAAATGGACGGGAATTTACAAGGGTTAATTGCCACTCCTACATGTTCCTGCCTGCTATGTTGGAAAGGCAAACACTCCCTCAGCCAAACAACAAAATTCAGCCAGATCCAAACAGCGTTCATAACTACTACCAAACCTGTTCACAAAAACTCCTAAAGCGTCTTGAAACTTAATTTGAGATCGAAACTAATCAAATATTTATAGAAAAAGAATTAAAAGATACTAATGAACAGAAGGCAGTAAGCAGATACAGATTTGACATATGTAACTTTGCATTTTTTTTTTGTTTCAAGTGAATTTCCACGTCTTTTCTTAACTCTATTACCAGTTATAAAAATGCTTCTTACTGAGCTTTTCAAATACATTTTCCAGATTCAAGCAATAGGAAAGAAAATTTGGATTTCTATAGACAACCGGACCTGAGGTAAAATTCAGATTTAACCATGGTTGAAAAGTTCAACGCTACTTAACCAATTTGATAACAGAGCATGGTGGCACAAAAAAAATCATGTAAACTACCCAAATGGATGTGAAAAAGCTTTGTTGGGTAGAGTCACGCAAATAGAGTGACATTGTGAAAATAGTTATTACACAAATCCTAACTTAAAAAAAGAGAACTTACTCATGGCAAACCCAATCTCCTTTCTTCATTTCAACATCATCCCCACCAACTCTTCTAGGTCCACCATCTCCGCATTTACGACATTTTATATTTCTAGAGAAGTTCATGAAATTGCACCTAAACAGCAACATCCATAAGGCATTAGCTCATGGCCCAGCAGAAGTAAGTAAAAAAATGCTAAAAAACAATAAATAATAACAAATATAGCAAGATCAATAAGAATGAAGATAGAAAAAATTTAATGGCATGAACTAAAACTATTCTTGGTTATCAAGTTTATGTTTGCAACTTGGAAGAGTTAATCAAGCAAACCACAAAGAGGAAATTTATCCATCAATGGTCACTGCATTCCAAATGTGAGATAGTTTTTCAATCATTTGACCGGGCAGATGAGTGTATTGAAGAAACAGGCACATGTATCAGAAAGGACCACCTGAATTATTGTGAGGACACAACTTTTAAGTGCAATATTTCTAATCAAAATACCCAAAATCATTTCTTGCATTGTTATCAATTGAATGGATTCGTCAACACAATTGACTCATTTGGCAACTAAAGCATCAAAAAAGACAAGAGAGTGAGAATCAAAATTTCGTTTAAAAATGGTCGAAATGACCAAAATGTTTTTGTTCCAAAGGAAACTGAAACGAATTAGTGATTGAATCGAAATTCTAATGTTTCAAGATGTTTAGGTATTTTTCAATTAATGTTTTGGAATATTCTAAAAATAAATACTCAATTTTTTTTTATCCATTTTCATTATATTTTCAAAACATTTCCGTTTCTTGGATGACCGAAACAATCCACTAAAATATTTCCTTTATTGTGGGCCCCAACAACAATAAAAGAATTGATTTATTTAGTTCACTATACCTTCCTCAGCACATTTCTTCCCATTTGGACAACTAGGATCTAGTCAGCTCCTTCACCCAACATTTACTTCAGGAACAATGTTAATACCTTCTATCTCAAAGGAATCCTACATGCATTTTGACCCATCTTATGTATGTATCATCAATTCCCAAATAGCAATCTGGGAAATGCACTTCTTTGTATAAATTGTGCACATCCTTCGACCCACACAAATAAATTTTCATTTGTAAGTATTCTTTCTTAATATCGGTTTCAAGTTGTTCAAGTTTTCCTTTCTTTATTTGGGCTTTCATGGCCTTAAATTATGCAAATAAATTAAATAAAGTATTTTCTCAAATAAGTTAGAGCCACAGATAATCTTTTTAGTCAGAATACAAAAACTAAGGATTTGATCAAACCTTCCAAAGAAACTTACTTAAGACACATCCAGTCTCCTCTCTTCATTTCAGCATCTCTTGAGAAATCGTCTACCAGTGAATCCAAAGATTTTTCTTTTATTTGACTAGCTTTCACAGCAGGCTTTGGGAGTTCTGGGTCAGGGGAAGTCTCGCTCAGTTCAATCAACTCAAGGATCAATTTTCTTGCGGATGCTTCAATAGCCCCTCTACTAGAAGGATTCTCTGCTCCCGAAATGACAAGTGGATCTAGCGCATAGAGCAACAGGATACGAACAATATCCACTGTGCGAGCAGATGCTTCAGTTTCCTTTAGTATTACGTAGGCTCTATCACATGATCCTCGCAGATTGCAAGCACTACATACCTGCACTTAAGTACTTTACTCAGACCCCAAAAAAGAAACCATACTAAACTACATACTAACTTTATCTCACAGTGCATATCTATTTATTTCCATCACTATAAAAAAAATGCTGATAAATTAAATGAAAAACCTTACATCTCCTTCATCGAGATGTAAGTATGCCCTCAACCTCTTCGCCGAATTAACAGCTTTCCGGAAGAGATTGGGACATCCCTTTTCTACAACTCTCTGAATATCTTCCTTAGACAATGATCTGCATTACAAAACAAATAAGTCCTTTTAGTTCGAAACACAAACAAAATACCCGTAGTCAGCTCAGTCTAATGACACATTTGATCTAGTCAATTGACTCTTCCTTGGGCATGTAAGTACCATGAGACTAAAAGTGTTCATTTTCCTCAGCAACCCCACCGATTATATAGCTCCAACTCCTCAGTTGAAAATAAGGAAATTCACATTCAAAAATAAAGCATAAAACTCATGCAAGGAAAATCCAAAAGCTACTTAAACATGCATTGTGAAAGAGTACTGTAAGGGGTAGAACCCTCTACTAAGGATTTCGGCTTGACCTGGGTTAACCCACGCGGGCGACCCCCCAGTAGCCTTTACCTCTCAGTGCCCGCAGGAGCATCGTCCCACATCGACTGAGAGTCGTCTCCCCCCCTCGCATATAAGTCCTTGCACTCAAAGGAGGAGGTACCCACTAGGCACCTGATCAGGTCGCTAGTGGGTACCTCCTCCTTTGAGTGCAAGGGCTTATATGCGAGGGGGGGAGACGACTCTCAATCGATGTGGGACGATGCTCCTGCGGGCACTGAGAGGTAAAGGCTACTGGGGGGTCGCCCGCGTGGGTTAACCCAGGTCTCCCCCCTCGCATATAAGCCCTTGCACTCAAAGGAGCCATAGGAAGTGTTCACTTATATGGCAGGGGGGAAGACGACTCTCTTCCGATGTGGATTGCCTTAGGAAAGGGTCCTATTGGCGAAGAGAGGTAAAGGCTACTGGGGCTCGGTGCCGCCAGGTCAGCCGGAATCCTTCAAGTGGAGGGATGAGATCCGTAGCGATTTCTACCCCTTACAAGTACCCACACGGTTGGCTTATTAATTTTAAGGTTTTATTACCAATGAATTATTCGGAAATCCAAAAAAAAAAAAAAAGGACCCCCCCAAAACCACAAAACAAAAAAAAACTACACACCTAACCCCTAATGCTCATATTTTCTTCTTTATTGCGTTAAACATAGCAGATTCCGAAATTCAAACAGGAATCAATATATAAAACTCAATGAATTATCATGTTCCATCATTTTATTCCCACTTTTTCTCAGCAACCAAACAGGACACACAAACTCCTTACTTGAAAATGTCGAACCGGTCACGGGCGAAACTAAGACAACCGTCCTTCAACAAGTTTATATCCTTATACTCAACTCCATCACCGTCAATACCGCCACGGGTTTCTCTAATGTCACCGCCATCATCGGCCACCGTCACCGCCGGAGCCAAAGAACTCTCTTTAAGGTAGCCTTTGCTACTCAAGCGATCAACAAAACGAACCCATTCAGGCCAGGGGTGGTGAATAAAAATATCTTCTGTGGTACCGGTGGTGAGAGTAGTATTAGTAGTATCAGTATGAAGTACAGAAGCGGAAGAAGAACTGTAGCGGTGGAACCGGAGCAAAGGGGAAGGAGAGAGATTGGGGATGTGAAATGGAGAGAGAAGGGAGTGTTGGGAACGGAGGAATATTGAGGGTTTCAGGAGAGAGAAAATTTTTGTAGTTGGTGACATTTTTTGTGTGAAGAAGTTGGAAATGAGAAGGGGCCAGGGTTTATCGCATTTGGAAAGGAAGGGTTTTGATTTTTATGGCTTGAACTTTGAAGACATTGTGGTTGGGTCGGGTCTCGCCCGATCAAAACCGGGTGCAGGTAAAATTTATTATTATTATTATTTTTTTTGCTTTTCCTATATATAATTTTTTGAATAATTATCATACTAAATTTTGTCCAAATAATTAACAAAAAAGGATAAGGCTATTATTAAAATCTTCATTCTCACCCCGTTTAATTTTTCATTACTAAACTATTAAACTCACACTTTCTATTTTCACCTCATTATTAATTAATTTCACCACATGTTATATACACTTCTTTCAATAAATAAACTCATTTTATATTTTGTTATAATCAGGGTTTCATTATCTATCTCATCTCATACACTCACTAAAAATATTTTTTGATATGAATTTTTTCAGTAAGATATGAGTTAGTATTATTTTCTCAATTTAAATTTATGTTTGATTTCATATATTGTTATATGAATTTTCATTATTTTAGGTATATTTTGATATATCTGTCAAATTTAATAATTTTGTATTTAGATTTTATACCTGTGAGTGTATATATATGTATGTTTTTATAGTATTTAATTTTTTTTTGTCTTATTAAAGTTTTGCCTCTAAGATTGTTATTATAGTTTTTTATTTTATTTTGTGTCTATGCTTGATTTTTTTTATTCATTTTTGGTTTTGCGTCTTGTAATTTTGCTCGTTCTTTTAATTTTTACTTGAATTTTTTTTCTTCTTATTTTGGTTTGCTTATTTATTCCTCTTTCTTCTTGTTTCGTTATTTTCTTTTTTCTTGTTTTCGTCTTCCTCTTTCTTCTTCTTCTTCTTTTTTTGTTTCATTCTTTTTTTTTCTTATTTCATTTTTTTTTTTTTTCGACGTGCATGTTTTTTATTACTTGTTTTGTTTTTGGTTTTTTTTTTGTTTCATAAATATATTTATCTATTCAAACTAATTGTTTTTCTTCGTTATTTTTTTCTTATGATGACTTCTTTCAATAAATGAGGTATACATAGAATTATTGAACTTAACTATTAATAGGTTATATGTAGAATATGGTGGCCTTAATTACTAATGGGATGAGTGTAAAAATAATAAATTTAGTAGTTTGATAATGATAAATTAAATAGGATAAAAATATAAATTTGTGGGGTGGAAATAATCCCACCTAACAAAAATTACGTGCCAACATCAAAGAACACCAATGGTAGATGTGGTCTTTTGCCTTGTCATATAAAAGTTTGAGTTTGATGTAATTTGTTTGAAGCAAAGGCTTAGAGAATTGTGATACCATACAATTTTACGAGGTTTTTGTCATTAAGAGATTTATAAAGAGTTAAATATATGTAATCTTAATTTTATAAAAATATAATTTGTGTAATTCAGACGTTGGACATATAATTTACAGTAAAATAATCTCACCTGTATATTAAATCTCAACTTCAAATTGTTAATAACAAATTATTTTATAATGTTAAACTAACAATAATATATACTTTTTCACTTATAATAATTATATTTTCCCAAATTTTAAATAACTAAGACGGTAATAATGAGTTTCCGAAAATAATTTGTACTTTTGCATAGTTTTAAAAAATACGTATCTTTTGCAAAAATCAACGTGATTAAATACAACAAAAGAACAAATTATTTATATTATAATTTATTCTACAGTGCGTATCTCAAGTAAAGAAAATAGTGATCAAATTTAATAGTAATTAAATGTTTATGTGAGTGACGAAGAATGTCACTCACATGACACAAATGAGTTGCAGCCTGATAAGAGGTTCTATATTGAAAAAAAAAATTAAGAACTTAATTGACGAAAGAATCATAATTTGAGGGTTATATGTGTATTTTTTTAATCAATTTACTTTTTTATTCCTTCCTTACCTAGGAAAAAAGGCTGATGTTTAATGCTTGAGAGAGTTATACCTAAACTCTTTGAAATTTGTTACTTAATTACTTAGATCTTATGATATTTAAAATATTATACATATACCTCATAAAGTTTATACATGTGTAACACTTAAACCCATTCCAATATATTCATTAATAAATTACACTTACACCTCTTAAAGTTTGTAAGTATATAATACATAGACCCCTTAAATTTAAAATATTATATTTAGACTAAATGTACTCCAATCAAAGATAGAATATCAAATATTTTAAATTTTACAAAAAAAAAATATTTTATTGTATTATTTATTGAAATAAAATTAAAATTAAAAAATTAATTTTTTCTTAAAAAATCATATTTAATATATAATTATTTTATCAATTGGAATAAAACTAAAAAAAATCAAATAAGGGGTCCAACTCATTCATAATGAAACATAAATTTTACATCCAAAATTCATGTTTTATTATGTAATTTATTAAAATAAAAAAAAAAAAAATCTTATTTAAAAAAAAAATCATAGTTAGTATATAATTATACTATCTATTACAATAAAACTGAAAAAAATTAAATAAGTGGTAAAACTGTAATAGACACAATATATTTTAGCTTTAATTGAGGTAGTTTGATATTTTAATTTGGTCGTTTAAACGATCAAATTAAAATTTAATAGATAATATAATTATACTAATTATAATTTTTTAAGAAAAAAATAAATTTTTATTTCAATAAATGATACAATATAACATGAATTTTAATTGTAAAATTTAAAATATTTAATATTTTATCTTTAATTAAAATATTTTTGATCTAAGTATAACATTTAAAACTTAAAGGGTCTAAGTGATATATATTTATAAACTTCAAAGGATTTAAGTATAATTTATTAATAGATATATTTATAACAGGTCTAAGTGTTACGTGTGTACAAACTTTAAAGGGTTTGTGTGTAATATTTTAAATATTAGTAGGTCTAAATGATTAAGTGACAAAATTTAGGGGATCTTGATATAATTCTCCATTAATGTTTTTGTTTTGATCCGACCCGATTCATTCAATCACCGTCTTTTGTAGCAAGCAGTCGCCTCTTAGGCCCTACTAAAACCTCAGCAGATCTATCACCGGACAATTCCAATAACCTTCCGTCTCTCTCTCTCTCTCTCTCTCTCTCTCTCTCTCGCACACACACACAGACAATGAGAAGAGCTTCGACTCTCGCTGCCTCAGCCCTCTCCCGGGCACTCCTCTCCGCCAACGAAGGCTGCGCCACCACCGTCCAACCCAGGCTCCTCCAGGCCGCGTTATACGGCACCACTACATCATCCACTCGTCGTTGGTGGTCTAGTTCCATCTCTGGCTCAGCCAAAGCTGTGTCCCTTGGCCTAGCCGGAGCTCTGGCCACGGTTGCCGGAGTGGCCACATTGTCTCAAGAGGTGTACGCTAAAGAGCCTCCATCGCCTGAAGCCGTACCCAAGGATGTTATTCTTTATCAATATGAGGCTTGCCCATTCTGTAACAAGGTCAAAGGTAAATAACATCTCATTGTTTATATCATTTTTGCTGATCTCAATCTTATGCTTGAACAATTTGCTTTCAAATAATTGTTAATCTTACTTTAATATTGTTAAATTGTCTGTCAAATAGATCATTTAAGCTCAAATGGGACATTATATTTATATTCATTGGTAAATGAAATATTTGTGAGAAAGAAATTGAATCCTATCTGTGTGTGTTTGCCTGGACTATGACTGTAATAGCAAAGGAGAACAGGTGTTCGTCTCCCCTAGGTGTCTCCCCTTCAACCATCTACTAGGAAAGAAATTAAAGGATAATTTTATTGGTTGAACAAAATTTTTTAATATCCTGAGAATTAGTAACGACTATGCGTGTATATCTTGATTTATATTATGCGTGTCTTTGTTGAATATTTAATTCAACAAAAAGAAATGGATAGCGTTGTGAGTGATATTTGCTTTGACCGATTATGATATCACTTGAATCCATTGGCTAAGTTTGAATACTGCATTTGGTTTCTAAATGGTGGCTGGAAGAGGTGGAGCTCCCGAGAAACATTCTTAGACTCTGGCGTTTTATTTTGAAAATTTTGGTGTCCAAGTTGATATGGTAATAAGTTAACTGTGCCTGATATGGTTTTGGGTTTGGCTCCCAAATAGCTTTCTCGCAGGCAAACAACTTTTATATATATATATTGGCTAATTGCTTCTTGTTTTAAAATTTGGGTAGTATATTTCTTCTTGTTATCCTGTTTATTGTAAAGATGAAGATAATGGAAATTTGGCCCTATAATGACTGGATTGGATTGTCTTATTTTGTCAACAATCACTGGATAAAATATGATCTGTTCAGATTCTGTGGTTGACTTAAGTTTGAGCATAAGGTTGGCTTTAACTTTATCTTTGTAAGTTAACTCATGTATATGTAAATGTGTGCCATACTGTATGAATGTGGATACGAGGAAATTAACATGGCAAGCGGTTCAGTGCGGTGTGGGTAATTCTCATTTCTGGAACTATCCCATGATTTTCATTTGGACTAATTTTGTGTCCTATTTTGGGTTTGTTGCTATTATATAAATTACAAGGGAAGTATAATTGACTTATACACTGTAACATTGGTCCTTCAATTAAAATGAGAATGAACGTAGCTGTATTATGTTATATAATGATGAGGAAGAAGACTAAAAATGTCAGCTGCAGGACACTGCAAATAGGTAAACGAGTTGATAAAAAATGGTTTGTTAAAAACCAAAGTTGTTGGTTGAAGTTGTCCTCCAGTGTGTTTATTTCTTTTTTAGGGTTTCTGTTTGTTTTTTATATTTGGGGTGCCAAAACAGTCTGAAGACAATGGGTGCATAAAAACCACTCCCCACCAAAAAATGAAAAGAAAGATAAGGAGTCCTCCAATCCAGGCATAGATGCAGACCAGTATAGGCGTTCAAGAGGAGTCCAGAGCAAGAATTATGAAAGGGTTTGCTATTGTGTTATAGCCTATAGGTTAGATTGGATTCCAAATTAAAAGTGGACTATATATTCAAAGGCAACCATACTAAGATTAGA